AACGACTCCAAAATACACAGTACAGCGATCTGCTCAAGAACTTAGTACAGGCTTATTTCAAATAAGAGACCACTTTGTTCTCTCTGGCTAGGCAAGCAAGACATGGAATAAAAGGGTAGAATCAGTTGCTGCCATTCATACACAGCTGACTGAAAAAGGTGTGTGTTTTTCAATACTACCTCACATCTTCTCTAACCTTTTTTTTTTTTTTTCTGAATAAACAGAAGATCAACACTGCCGCCTCTGAAGACAGTCTATTTTCTTACCCCCACATGCTTTACTGTTGTCTGCAGGCTTCCCTCTAAGCAAACTTGCCTGGATTACCAAAGAGGAACACCCAGACAGCAGGACTGATTGCTCTGATCAGGCAATAAACCTGTAAGATCAGGGCTACAGTTTCCACTGCAGATATTTCCTTACTGCATGCACATATTTTAAAAAAATACTGCCAAACTGAATTATGACAAAGGGCGATTCTTCACATGACAGAAACACTCAATTAAGTTAAACCGATTTTGCTGATTTTCTTTTCCTTTTTATATCTTCTCTTCACCCTCTAAATTATTCTCGTCTGCATTAATCTCTTGCAGAATCTCTTGTTGTGCCACCTAGACACCCATATTTGCCTGAAAAGTTTAATCTTGTCTCAACTGGAGTCTTTCTCTTGGGAGTACACAGCCTATTATACTGCAGTTTATTACCTTCAAAAATAGCCTGAAGACAAAAAGACACCTCAGGACTTAAAACAGTTCATTGATGTCCTGATGTAACATTTATTTAAACAGCCAGTTTGGCCAAGATGGCCTAAACAGACAGGGAACAAATTCAAAAGATTAGGTGCATGACAATGACAAAAACAGAATTCTATCCCAGATCATGGTAAGAATGCCAAGCAGTATTTCTGCCTTACATGTGAGTGTTTTAATTGTGCAGCTGGAAATTAAAATTCTATAAACTGGCATTTTTATTAGAACAGCAGCCCTTTATCATATTTGGGCACTGTTTATCAAAAAGCTTACCATATGACCAAGCCAGCAAAAGCACAGGAAAAGCAGAAAACTGAAGACTGAAGCACAGAGCAAGACACTTGCCTGAGGGCACAGGCAAGCCTGTGGCAGAGCCAAGAACTGAATATAAACTTCCTTATGTATCATCATATTGCCTAAGCTAAGGCAACAATGAATATTTGTGCAGAACTACTTCCCAAGCACTACATGGACAACAGCTATCACCCATCATATCAAAAACTGTATAAACAAATACACAATTCTAATTAACCAGAAAAGTTAGCCAGAAAGTTAACACTGACTAAGAAGCAGCCAGTGCTCAACCTGGATCTACTCCAGCCTTCCTAGCTGTCAATTATAGTCATTCAGAGTCTTTGTTTGAGTTCCCCCATGAGGTGACCTTTACAAAATTCAGCTCTTCTGAAGATCAGGAAATTCAGTTACCCACAACATCATTACACAGGACAGCTCTTAAAGGACAATGAAAGAAAAAAATATTATAAACAGATATCTTTCAGTCAAGTTCAGTATAAGTCAGCAATACCTTAATTTTCTGGTGAATATGCCTCAGTGAATCTGCTGTACCCATGTCCATGTTGTCACTGATGCACACAAAATCCAGTTTCATTTTTGTGTCCAAGTTTAACATCTTTTGGATTTCCTTCCTTGTAATCACAATCACCTCTAAAACAGAGGAAAGTGGGATGAGATCAAGCAGGGGAAAAAAATATTCATCACAAATAGGATTCACTCATTTCTTATTTACAAAGGCTGATGGAACTGTCAAAAAGGCTTGAGTAGCAACACTGGGTTCTACAATAAACCAAGCTCTTTTGGCAATAGCAACTTTTGAAGAAGAGAATTAAAAACTCCTAATAAGATGGAAACTATTTCTCCTGCTTTGTGTGGGGTGGAGGTTGTTACTGAAAAGGAGGCATGTATGTGAGTGGCATGAGTTAGCAAGACAAAACAGAAATATCTTCTATCGTTAGCGAGCGACCTCAAACCATATGTCCTCAAAGAGACCAATGAGACCCTGCATTATTGTCAGCAACGCTTTAGAGCTTTGTCTTTTTTCCACCCTGACTCTGTATAATCCTCTGCGGACAACGCCACCAACCACAGCATTGCAATACAATGGTTAAACTATTTCTTAGCACCAGCTTGGCAAGAGAGTGGAGTAATATGTGAGCAACAAACTTATTCCATCCACATAAAAAAAAAAAAAAAAAAAAAGGTAAATGCATATTTAAAGGATACTGACAGTGGCAAGAAAGGGTATCTTCCACAATGAAGAAAGTGAGAACAGAAGCTCTGCAAATAAAAGACTGAGAAAACAAAACTGCAAGAAACCTTTTCTCTTGGCCTCAAGAACTGGAAGGAAAAGCAACAGTCAAACCCTGAAGTTAAAATAGTCCACCCTCCTGCCCTAAACCCTGGCCCCCAAACCCCAACAGTGTAACATTGTATTCCACATGGAATTTTAACAGAGAACTATGGGAAATAATACAGCCCTCAACCTAGGAAGCTCCTGTGGCAAGATACACACTAAGAATAAACCCGTATCAATCAAAACTGAGCTCATCCTGAATCTGTTAACAGAAAAGAGGAAGGAAGTGTAAACATGAGAACTGTGTGTCAGTTTGGTACCAGAGATATGGGAGGGCTCCTCTCCCACTCCCATACCGGATGCCAACTTGGATTCAAAACAAGCTGAAGAATCTAGAGAAATGGATGGAAAGCACAACTTGAATTAGGGAAAGAAGCAACTGATGGAGAAGGAACTGGTGTCAGGTGGAAGTTGTAAGCCCACACAGTTCAGCATGTATCTGGTGAGCTGGACAAAGGTCTCCGAAATATTAATAGAGATGAAACACTTTCAATTGGGATAAAAAGGACGCAGTGAATCAGCCTACTTACTAACATAAGCAAGTATGAGGAACTAATGCCTCATTAATAAAAATTATGATCCAGGGACATAATTCATGCCACTAATACAGAAATGCACATCTTGGTCAGGCAGCAAGAGAAGAGCAGAAAGGGGCCAGCTTGCTTACTGAAGCTGCATACACAACTCTGAACATCGAAATTCTCGTAGGGGAGAATAAGCTGAAGAGCCATGTGTGAGAAAGGAGGAATATCTGACCATAACACCACCTACTAGTAGTCAAGAACATCAAGTAGAAATGGTTATTTCTGAACAGAGCCACACAAAGCACAATATTGGTTACAGAGAAGATTCTAGCTACCCATATAACCATATCACAGGATAAAAGTATGGTCCCAGCAAAAAAGAGACAGGAGAACAGCCAAAGAAAGCAGACATTCGGAAAGGAGATTTCAACAAACAGGCAAAAAACAAGGGAAAAAAAGTTCTTAGGGATTTCTGAATGAAACAAAATGAAGGCAGAGTCTTAAGTTTACTCTTTATTCTGTTCCTTCACACCGAAACAGTAAGAAACTGACATGGATAATCATAAACTGATCTTTACATCTTCACAGAAAAAAAAAAACAGTCAGGAAAAAAGACACAATGTCAGGATGAAGTACAGAATAATTGCACAGTCACGCAGGAGAAGCAAAACCAAGAGAAGCAGAAAGACAAAGGACAAATACAAACATGAAAAAACAGAGACGCAAAAGGTATCAGGAGGAAGTTTTATAAGAAGCAGGGAAAACACCATATAAAGATTATGTCCACCACTCAAAAGGGAAACAAAAACCCTAAACCCAGAAAATACTAAAGAACTTCACCATGTACTAAATACCATTTTAGCCCTCCTGTGAACCAAGACCCACTGCTGAGCATTACAAGCCTGCTACTTCCCCCCGCCCTATTCTGTCCAAAACCCAGTGCCTTGGCTCCATGCTGCAACAAGGACTAAATGCCTCAGACACAGCAAGTAACCCTGAACTTCAGGCCAGACTAAAACAACAAACCAAGAGATATCCCAGGAGAGCTGACATGCTTCTCACACTACTCTCACTAATAATTTAGAGAAAGAAACAAGTGAGACACTCTGGGTTAACAACAGAGGGAAAGGCATCAAAGTTGGGAAATGCATATAGATGAGAAAAGCCTTGGTGAGGGGAGAAGAGGGGGAAGAGGGCGCTGGCACAAGAGATGCAGCCTGGAGTGAAGGAAGGGATGTGACACGGTCCAACAGCATAGCTCCAGTGCAGAGAAAAGATCTGCTACAGCACCTGCCCCGACCAACAGGGCACCTGCGACAAGACGATTAGAACAAGAGGGGGCGACAAACGAGAGTGGCGGAGGCGACCATGGAAGCCTGAAGAGACCAGGATAAGCGTATCACCTACACGCCCCCATCAAGACACCGTCGCGTCTCACCTTCGAAGCCGGCGCGCTCCAGGAGGTTCAGCGGGTACCAGAGCAGGGGCCGGTTGCCCACCGGGAGCAGGGGCTTAGGGATGCTGGAGGTCAGGTCCGTCATACGGGAACCGCCCCCCGCCGCCATCACCACGGCCTGGAACTCCATGCTGCAGTGGGAGCACAGGGGCAAAGCCTCACTCAACCACGGCAGAACCGAGCAGACCCGAGCCGCGACAGGCCGAGCCGGGCCGGGCTAAGCCCGGATCGGTTCAACCTGGACCGACTTTATCCGTCAGCACTTCTCGCAGTCGTGCATCGGTTCCTCGCTTCCCCCGCGCCCCCCACAGCCCTTGGC